GAGAATAACTGCTAACTTTTATTAAGTAGCTATATACACTACCTGCCATTTTCCTCTTATCCCGTTCTGGTCCCTCTGTACCATATGGCTGCCTCATTAGGTGGTTTAGATGCCTGGATACAGTTTTCTAATTATGCTTAGCTTTATGGTGAGAAAGACTGGTGCGATTTCAAAAACAGACTTACTCTTAGTACTTTATAGGCCAGTATTTAAGCCAAACTTAAGACATCTTATTAAAATCGATGTGATAAAAATTATGTTGTCCAATAGGAATCATTACCTTCATAATATATAATTCTGTGTAAGTGACACACTGAATAGTATTCATGGTATTTGTTAAAACAAAGACCTGAAGAAGCACACCCAAGAGGGCACCACATGAAATACCAAATCCCAATCCTGTCATGATCTAGTTGAAAGAAATTATCTTTTAAAGTAATGAATGTACCTTGAAGAAATGTGTATTTTGAGTCATATTAAGATCCAGTTGCTAAAAAGTAATGCAAACCAAATATCTGAAGTTACAAACAAAACAAAAACCAGGCAGGTAACTCTGGTCTTTAAAAAAAATTAAAAATTAAAAATTACAAAAAAGATATACAACCAAGCTGGAAAAGATGCCATAAAAATCACTAAATAGCATTTATGAAACTAAAAAAATAAAAATAAAGTCAGTAGCATACAGACTTTGGGAGAACTTTGGTTCACAAAGTATGAAGATGTACTATCAGTTTTATTGGTAATACACATTTATTAGGGTTTTTCATGCCTATCATACTTAGAAATGGCCATTGCAGCTAAAGGCTACAGAACCTAATAAATGAGAAAATTACTACTGATAAGATTAGTTGAAAACAATTATATATAGCAAACAACAAAGTATCTCTGAAAACAGACCTCAAAGGATGTGAGAAGCCAAAACATAGATCATAGAATCATAGAATACTAAGTTAGAACATGAAAATTCAACCAGACTTCTAAACTATCTGAAATCTGTTTTTGGGGGTTTTTTTTAAATTGGTTTTTGAGAGAGAGAGCATGAGCAGAAGAGGGGCAGAGAGAGGGAGACACAGAATCCAAAGCAGGCTCCAGGCTCTGAGCTGTAAACAAAGAGCTGGATGAGGGGCTCCAACTCAGGGACCATGAGATAATGACTTACAGTCAGAAGCTTAACCAACTGAGCCACCCAGGTGCCCAAGTAATTGCAACTTCTGAAGAACAAATCATGAATGAGAACATTTATAACCAAAGCAAATTCCATCGCAATACTGAAACAATACTCTTAGAAAAATACTGTTGTGCGGGAAAATAAGCAATTTCTACATAGAGAAACAGGTGCTACGACGATACTCCTTCACTTAGCCAACAAATAGCTGCTGAATGCATTTGTGTTCTACACACTGGGGATACAATGATGACCAGGACAAAAACAGATCCTTCAGGAAACACCTATTCTAGTAGTTGTAAGATCTAGTTCAACATGTTTCTCAAAATACAGTGAATTAAAATCTACTTCTAAAAAGCTTTAGGGGAGGGGTGCCTGGGGGGCTCAGTCTGTTGAGTGTCCATTTTCAGCTCAAGTCACAATCTCAAGGGTTGGTGGGTTCGAGCCCCACTTGGGGCTCTGTACTGACAGCTCGGAGCCTGCTTCGGATTCTGTGTCTCCCTCTCTCTGCCCATCCCCCACTCATGATGTATGTGTCTCCATCTCTCAAAAATGAATAAATGTTTAAAAAAAAAAAAACTTAAAAAAAAAAACCAAAAAACTTTAGGGGAGGAGCAACTGGGCAGCTCAGTTGGTTAAGCATCTGGCTTTGGATTTTGGCTCAGGTCATGATCTCATGGTTCGTGAGAGAGCCCTGCCTAGGGCTCAACACTGACAGCTCAGAACCTGCTTGGGATTCTCTCTCTCCACCCCGCTCATTCTCTGCCCCTCCCCCACTTACACTGTCTCATGCTCAAAAAAAGAAAAAAGCTTTAATGGAAAGAGAGGTTTTAGTTGTGCTACTAATTAGCAATACAGATTTTGACACTTGTCAGTTTCATCTCTAAAATGAGATGAAGTCTGTTTAAAAGGTTTATTCAAGAATAAAAATAATTTTGGGGAGCGCCTGGGTAGCTCAGTCAGTGAGATGTCTGACTTCAGCTCAGGTCATGATCTCACAGTTCTGAGTTCGAGCCCCGCGTTTGGCTCTGTGCTGACAGCTCAGAGCCTGGTGCCTGCTTCGGCTTCTGTGTCTCCCTCTCTCTCTGCCCCTCCCCTGCTCATGCTCTGTCTCTGTCTCAAAAATAAAGAAAAACATTTAAAAAAAATAAAGTATTTTTTGAAGTGCTTCACACATACTACCTGACACAGGTGTATTCAAAATGGCAACCGTGAAACAGCTCTATCAGAATGTTTCTGAACATCTAGGTTCAGGTTTAACCCAGATGCTTACAAGTCCTATAACATCTGTGAGATTTAGTTTCTAACCTCTCATTTGTGGGTAATATGTGTACTCTTTACTAGAGACACTGGAAGAAAAAATTAGGGATTTTTATTGAGCCATAAACGATACCTCATAAGGGTACCAGAGGCTACCAGCACTGTTAGTCACAGCATATGTACAAAAATAGGACTTCTGAGGAAAAAAACTGCAAAGTTTTTTTTGCCGTATTTACCCCACAAAATACCCCTGTTGAAGAGTTTAAATACCAACTGTGTGCCACCTTGAGAATAACTCCCAAATGTAAATCAGGAATGCAGCCTCCATAAACACGATTAATATCACCAATCTTAACACGGCTTTGAGAGTTGCACAAAGGCAAGGTGGATACAGTCTCACGCTGGCTAGAAATAGTATCCAGAAGACTAGAAAATGCTTGGTCACCCAGTCCAACCACCTCTTCAGTTCTTGCGACTCTTTTTGCAACAATCCCAGCAAATCATCATCTAATTCCATTGTTTAGAAACCTACCAACTGCAGGAGAACAACCTGAGGAGCTTTGGTAAGGGCAGATTCTGAAATTCTGACTCACAAAGTCCAGGGCAAAGTTCCAGGACCGGTTTGTGCAATATGCCTCCCAAGTTATGTGAAAGTGTAGCCAGAATCTAGCCTCTGGTGATGCTGCTCTCACCAGCCATTCTGCATTTGGGGCGTGCAACAAAACTCTGATGTTAGGTTGGCATCTCCCCACTTTAGTTTCCACCTTAGGCTAGTTTTGCTGTTGGCTCCACAGACACCTAATCCATCTCCTGACTAAACATTTCTCACTTCTTGAAACAACCTACATGTGATATGTTCCAAACATGATAACCCTAAATTTGTCCACATCTTTATACAGGATACCAAGAGAACAAAATCCCCATGTAGGATACAATGAGGACACACTTTCATTACAATTCAATCTCTCCAGTGTCACAGCTTAAGTGTGCCTCTTGTCAAAGAGTGACCATATCACATTATGCTTTTTAATGTGCTTAATAACTTATTTTGGAATATACTTTACTTTGGAATGATTTCAGATTTACACGCAAATTGCAGATATAGTACTGCACGCTCTCACACACTCCCCTCACCCAGACTCAGTTTTTCCTAATGTTAACATAGCCAGTGGCCACAGTACATTTCCCCAAACCAAAAATGAGCCGGTTGATTTTTTAAATTGCATTAAAAAAAAATTTTAATGTTTGTTTATTCTTGAGACAGAGCACAAATGGGAGAGTGGCAGTGAGAAAGGGAGACACGGAATCCAAAGCAGGCTCCAGGGTCCAAGCCATCAGCACAAGAGCCTGACGTGGGGCTCGACCCAACAAACCATGAGATCATGACATGAGCCGAAGTCAGACACTCAACCGACTGAGCCACCCAGGCACCCCGTTTTTGTTTTTGTTTCTTTTTTAACACAAATTACTTTCCAGGACCTCCATTTCCTTCATCCTGAACACAGACCTTTGGCTATTCTTTCATTACACAAGGCTACTACTACAGGTCCTTATATTTCATATATATTTTATTTATATATATATATATATATTTCATATATCCTATACTTTAAGATATTTTGAGTCGAGATCCAGTTGGACACGTGATTGCTGTCATAAGAGCCATGCCATACACACATTTGGTAAGCAAGACTTCCACACGTTCATACAACAGGCCAACTCTTGGGCTAATACAAACCTCCCTCAGGTGGCATGAGGGACCTCCGAACGCCTACCATCAGTAAATGACAAATGCAACCAATTATCTGTACATCCAGTGATTTTTCATGCAAAGATATTCCCTGCATCAGGCAAGTTCTGACCTACCGCATCTCCACATTTTCCTCTTACTAGTTCGCATGTTCTGCTTCTACAGCTAAAGATTTCGACTGTCTACACAGCAAAAGGAATGCATCCCCACCCCCCACCAATGACTCTGAAATGCTTAGGATAAAAAGGGATTTCTCTAAATTTAATATCTACTGGCAACTCACTGAAGCAGTTAATGACCATGTGTGAAAACCGGTGCTCATAGGAAATCCACAGAGAATTCCTGATGAATCACAAACTAAAATCAGAATAAGCAAGGTGATATTGGTAGTATTATTCCTCCAGGAAGAAAAAAGAATTCAGTTTATCCTATTGAAATTAGTACCAGCCTTAATTATAAAGCTTAGGGCACACAATGGTACAAGATAGTAATTTACTATTAAAATTCTGATTAAAAAGGATAAGTTAGACATGTGGACCCAAAGATAGCTATACTCAACCTGTATCAATCACTGCCAGAAAATTTTTCTAAACAGTTTACTTCTCCTGAAAAGATGTGAATAATTTCCAATTCTGTTTATCTCTCCAAGCCAGGTTGTGGAATTAGAGTTTTTAAATTGTAAAATAAATTTGACAATGCTTTCAGGAAGGTTGCAAACTCACAGCCTTCCTGTCATACCAGTGAGTTCCTTAAAATAGGAAAGCCATTTTTAAAAATCTTTCTAAGAAGCATCAAAATATCAAAAACAAAGCTCTTTAAACTTACCTCATAGTAACTCCGAACTGCATTGCAAAATGCTTCATCAGCCACAATTTGAGTTTCTCCGTTGAGGAAGGCCTGGAACCTTTCTTTCAGTAACTGCAACTGTTGCTTGTTAAGCTAGAAGAAAAAGAGGGAATTAGCTGAAAAATCAGCCAATCTGAGAAATGTGACAATTCATAAAAATTTTAATAGCCAGAAGTTAGATCTGACACCTAGAATTAGCTCTTTGTTAAAAAAAAAAAAAAAAAAAAAAAAAAAAAAAAAAAAAAAAAAAAAAAAAAAAAAAAGCTAACAACTCCTACTACTTATACTATGGCTCAATTTTAAAACATTTCCAATTCACTTCCCCATACTCTGGAATCCTAACATTGCAATGTGATACAAGTTTCTATGCCAGATGGAGCTCCTAGGTTTACTACCCTGGTCTCTTTGTAGAAACAGGTAAAATCTAAAGTTCGGATGAGAAATGAACTGTTGTGCACAATTGCCAGCTGTCCTGAGCACAGAGAGCAGAGAGAACGAGGGTCCTTGGAAGTGAGTGAATAACAGCCACCTTAGATGAAGACTAACTGGAAGACTGCAAAGGACAGAGGACCCTGAGAAAATATCCTCTGGAAAGAACATTTTTTGGATGGCACAAATTTGAATTCCATGAACATATCTCAATGCTTGAGGGGAGATAAAGAATTGATTGGAAGACAAATCCAGAGAACAGAGAGGCAACAGGCAGACAGAGCATGCCTTATATAAGCATACCAAGCAAGAGCTATACGCCACGGAGGGGAGTTCAAGTTCACAACCAGATTTCCTCACCCTGGGTCTGGCTGCCATAATGATTACTAAAGGTGTGTGGGACATGAACCATGACTTACCAACTATATCCTATAGTCATCAGTGACAAGCAGAGTCAGCTGTTTGTAGGGCTCAAGGCAATAGGAGACTCAGGAGCCCGTTATCAAAAATTGAAGGATTTCAAGACAGTAGTAACAGCACTTTCCACCAAGCATGGGCCCTTTGAAGCATGGAGCCCTGTGCAACTGCCCCTGAAGCCAGCCCAGAATACAGGGCACAGACTTCACTAGAGGTGGGGCACAGTAGGTCCCACAGCAGTTGAAAGTGCTTATCTGCTGAGAGAACAGTCTTGCAGGGGGAAAAAAAAAAAAAAAAAAACCCACAATGCCAACATACATAAGGAACAGGAAAAAGTGATCTTTCCATTTCATTCATTCCTCATCAGACTATTAAAGAACTCATTCCAGTTCTGGATTCTACAGAGAGATACGAAACATTTGGAAATATGCTAAAGATAAAATGATTAAAAAAGGATTAGGAAGGAAGGCTAAATAAACTGCAACGATTTGGCTTCCAAAAGAAGGCTGATGTGCCCTAAGTTTAAATCTGTTCAAAAGGCTTATTAAGATGCCATTCCAATAGGAAAGACAAGCGCTTTCAAAAGAAAGGGGGTTTTATTCAGGAATCTAACAAATAAGACAGTTTCTAGAGAAAATGCTGCTGGTAGTGACAGACTTACACAGAAACGTCCTATTGTACCCCAGCGTAAGAAACCTCTTGCCCTGAGCAGCAGAGAAGAAATACCACTCCATTTTTTTTTTAACCTTATCTCCTTCATTTTAGGGAAAGCTAAACCAAGCTCAAATGCAGAACTATCACCATTATATTACACTTTCCGCTTTATAACATAAGGAAAATCAAAGCAGGGACCTTTTGTGTGTAAGTACTGGCAAGGCAAATGGAGTCCACGA